TTATAAGGAAAGAAGAGAATCTTTCTGTTTAAAATTCTTTGCAGAAATTATTCAACTTAACAGAATGTTAACACAATTTTGAGAGGTTAGTTTGGGTAAATTAATGCCAGTAACCTTTGGAAAGTATTTCCTTGTTTATATAATTAGCAGTTATGTTTTGACATTATCTCTAAGTATTTGAAGTTGCAATTTACAGTCAAAAGACATATAATGCCATTACAAAAAGGCAACCAGAATGTGTAATAAAGGGGTGCATGTTTCCTGTATGTCTGTATTTGCCTGGGGTTCAGCATGCTGTCTTTGCTTGCCTGTCCAACATCAGGAGATCCCACGTGCCCTTACTCTCTTCTCTGTGCCTGCTGGCTTCTCTCAGTTCCTTCATATGCCTTCTGGGGGCACGGCCTTAAAATTCTCTCTACAAAACTGCTCCTCTTTCACTATTTTCAGTTCATAATCCACACCTCAGTTTATCAGGGAACAGTCCTCTAACTCAACCCCACCCCTCCACTGACTCACCCATAAGATGAAACTTTGGTGTTATTACATGGTACTTTTCAGTTTACTTGTATGATTTTTTTAAATTAATATCTGCTGAACTTTAATTTCCCAAAGGGTAAAAATTGTTCGGTTTTTCCCAACATGTATCCCCAGTGCTTGGGTTCTCCTTGTAGAATAATTGCACAAGAAGACAATTGCTGAGTAACTATGTGACATGATTCACCAATCTCCCAAAAGGCCAAAGAGGTCAATGACACTGGTTTGAAGAAGAAAGATGGGGAATACTGTCACCTCAGATGTGTTATGTACTACAGTTGGGTTCTAAACTTGACAGTAAATGTCTAGTCAGGTAAGGTCACAAAAACAACCTATAAACATGATACATTGCATAATTTCAAATGTCCAACAATTAAAATTGACAACAAAATATTTGTGTTGGAACTAAACTCCAGAAGGTAGTTACCACATAGATATTTCATCAAGTGATTCTTGAAAGGACAGTAAACTCTGTAAATAACCATTTCTTTTCAGTAAATTCTATAAATAACCATTTTATAAAAATACTGAAATACTATTCAAATAAGCAGTTCTTAAACTGACCTTCTGGAAAGGCAAAGAATATAACATTAAATCAAATTTCAAAGAGTGCCTTTCTATAAAGGATTGGAATAATGTATAGTCAGGCACTTTACTTTCTAATCATCCTACTTAATGCAGTGATAGAACCTGAAAATACTAGATGGACAGCTAATACGCCCATTAACCTGTCTCAATCAAATATCAGATGTCTTAAATGAATGTTGGTAGGTTGTGAATCAAGGCCAAGATATAAATTAATTTTCTTTCAGAAATGTGTAATGCTTTTTTGTAGCACAAAGAGAAAGATGTCCTTTGGAATGTCAGGTATGAGAAGGAATGACTTTGGTCTTCTATTGTAAGTATTTGAGACAAATGAATATTGTAATTATTATAGAGCCAATGTCAAGTTTGAAAATGACTTATGATTTCCCAGGGAATTACACACCTTCCCAAAGAAATTCTGTTCTTCCAGAATTTCTGTTAATAATTCCAGATACATTGAAAATAACTTTTTGATTCCAACATCTTTACTAATATCATACTAATTTTACAGACACCAATAGCTTTTTGTAAGTCAAAAACCATATCATTTACAACAGGTAATAACATGAGGACTTGTTTACTTTCAAAGGAGGTATATTTGCCTTTCAATTCTGTGAAAGAACAATATTTTTCCTAATAGAAAAATGAAGAATTTGTTTTGTATCATTAATAAGGTATTTTATCCCATTAATAAAAATACTAAATGAAAGTTTTCAATTCATAGTAAATAATAGCTAGAGGAATACTTTTCCTTTACTCAACTACATCTCAATATCACTATAACTCAATTTGCTTTAAAGATATTAGAATATAATGGTTCCGTCCTTGGTACTAGTCCAGGTGACTTTAACATAAAGTACCATAAAAATAAAAATGTTCTCACATTTGTTCAACTATAATATCACCCTATAGGATGAATTCTGAAGTTCCAATAAGATTAGAAAAAGTGTATCCTAAGAAAAGCACAAAGTAGTACATTTAATAATTATATGAAATAGTCAATTTATTTTGAATAAAAATTGATATTTTCCCAAGAAATTAAAGGAATGATGAGAGAATCCTGCCATGTAAATATGGAAGGGGTAAGGGGGGAAAGGTTGAGACAGGGCTGTGTAGGGTGCTTATGGAAATGACAGTAATTCAGATTAATTGGAAGCCAAATTAATGGTATCCAAATTGTGAAGTGTGCTTAGACAGAAAAGTGATGGCTTAGAAAGGCAATGTCAGATGGAAGTCCTTAAATGTCAGGCTGAGACATTGGGAGTTTATTCGGACGTCAGTACAATGTTATTCATGATTATAGAGCACAGGGGATATGAAACCTTCATGAAGTTGTTATGAGAATTAAGTTTGTTTTTTAAAAAACTTATTCTTAGCTACTCAAGAAATAATTTCTGCATCTGCAATGAGACTTTGCTAGAGAAACATAAGAAATAACATAATGCTGATGGCTTATGCAGAGTCAGGGAATGTTTTTCGGTTACATTCGCCCTGAGTGTGATTGTTCTCTCTGAAATCCAGAGAAGCCCGTTAGTGTTCGTCCAACTCAACAGCATGACAGATTGCAAATAGGTGAAGCAGAGAGCAGATAGGTCCATGGAAATACAGTTACTAAACATCGAAAATGGTAATGTTGAGCAAGATGATAAACTGAGATTTATCATCATTTAAAATATCAATAGATAAAGGTTCAGAAACTGATCCAAGACTGAAGACATGGTCTAGCACGGGCATGAGAAATAATTAGTACCATTCATGGAAGGGAAGACCGCAGGAGTAGAGCAGGTTATACTGGGTGAGGGAGTGATATGTTCAGATCTGTGCATGCTGGTTTGAGAAACCTATCACATGGGCATGCCCCGAAAGAGACAAAGCTGGTTCCATAGCTCTTCAGGGAAAGCGGGATCCTGCCTGGAGAAAGAGTGACTAGAGATCGCAACTGCTAATATGGGAGGGGATGAGAGTGTCTAAGTAGAGTGCATTGGGTGCGTCCAGGACAGAAGCCAGAGGCCCCCAGGGAGAGAGGAAGCTGCAACCCAGACTAAAAAGTAGTCAGAAAACAAAGGAGAGTGTGGGTGTCCTGAAAGCCAAAGGAAGTCTGCGCTTAAGGAATAAAGGGTAGTTCAGTGGGGGACAAGGATAGATAGAGGTACAATAAAATAAGGAACTAATACCCATTTAGTTATCAAAAAGTAGTTAATTTGTATAACAAATTGGCCATTCTGCTTTTGAGTTTACTTATTCTAATTTTAACTTCTGTGAGTTTCTGCATTTTTTTCTTCCTCTCAAGTAAGTAATTGGGTTGGCAGCCGAACATCTTAAATATTGGCAGAAGAGAATGCCTTCTGCTTGAAAGCCTCACCTTACTATTTTTTAGTAATACTTGAGAGTTGGGGAACATATTTTTGGCCTGATCTGGGTTGCATAATACATTCCCAGCATGTTTTTGTTTCTTTGTTTTTGAAGAACATTTTTACAATAATGATAGTAAATGAATTATGAGTGACTGATATGGTTGTAGAGTAATTGCATGTCTGTATAAAACTAGAAAACAAAAGAGTGATCATATTGTATCTCAATCAACTTCATGTTTGAAAAAGAGCTTTAAAATAGTCTGTTGACATTAATAAAAGAAAATAAACAAGTTTTAATAATACAAAGTACATGTATTGAAATTTATTTGAATTTCAATTATATAGAAAATTAAACCACCATTTTTTTTTAAATATTTTATTTATTTATTTATTTGAGAGAGAGAATGAGATAGAGCATGAGACGGGGGAGGGTCAGAGGGAGAAGCAGACTCCCTGCTCAGCAGGGAGCGCAATGCGGGACTCGATCCAGGGACTCCAGGATCATGACCTGAGCGAAAGGCAGTCGCTTAACCAACTGAGCCACCCAGGCACCCTTAAACCACCATTATATTATTACATAATAACTTACATATTTCAAAATAAATGTGTGACATAAAGTTTTTATTGAGGCACGAAAACCTAAAATATTGAAAATAATTCAATAATAGTAAAGTACTTGTTACAAATTAATTATAAAATGCCAAATTTCACTATATTTCCTGATTGTACAAAGTAAAATTCAGTAAATAAACTCTTTGTTTTAATATGTGTGCTATAAGGGTATTTAAGTGATTTAAGAAAACAATTGTAGGTATACCAATTAGGTTGCACACAAGAATTCTTATTTGAAATGTAATCTATAGGCTATTGGATTATGAGCAATTCCTTGATTTGCATCAATATTCATCTATTATGTGATTAATTTTTCCATGGTATTTCCATTGACTTTCTAAGAATGACTTAAATAGTGCTGTTTTTAATAATTTATCTGTTATGAGTAATGTACTAAATAGGCTTAGGAACAGTACTGTTTCATTCATTCAAAAATAACTATAAATTCTTATTAAAGGCTTTAATTCTCAGACATCTTGATACATTGTCTATACATGGTGAAAGAGGAAACTAAAATGAAGGAAGAATATCATTTTCTGGTGGGTTTCAGCCAGAATTAAACAGGCATTGTTGTTCTGTTATGTTTGCAAGGAGCATAATTGTAAGCCAACAAAGCCCTTCTTCGAAGAACAAGCAAGCTTTTTAAAAAAAAGCACAGAGTGCACTAAATAAGAGGTTGATAAAACATGTGTTGAAGTTTTTACTACATGTTAGTGTCCCTGTAAGCAAGTGGGCAGGTACAGTGGAAAAGCCAAAAACAGTAAGTCATAAATACGGAAACATTGCTTTCCAAAAAAAAAAAAAGTAATGCAGGTAAGACTTTATTTTCATTTATCATGTATGTGATAAACACCCTATGTTTGGTCATCATTTGCACGAAACAAGCGTAAAATCTTTCTTTTTCGATGTAAACAGAGCCCAGACGGCCGCATCGAAGTCAAAGGGCACCATGGAAGCTCATCACTGCATATTAAAGATGTGAAGTTGTCAGATTCAGGGAGATATGACTGTGAAGCTGCGAGCAGGATTGGAGGGCACCAAAAGAGCATGTACCTTGATATTGAATGTAAGTTATTTTTCTTTCGTATGTTTATTAAAACAATTTTGTCTGCTTTGGAAAATACGAATTTTGGTAGGATCCTCAAAATACCTCTGAAGTTCATGATTCGGTATTTGACTCATTGCTCTAGAACTAATGTAGCCATTCAGAGTCAGTTATTAGAGACATCTAGTGGATGTTATAGGACAGTTCACAGTGCTATGTATTTAATGGTTTTGATACTACTTATTCTGAAAATTGCGATTTTCTTTTTTTGCAGTGTGTTTAACCCAAACACAATATAAATTGAATTGTATTAGTTATCAGTAATTGGTTGGTATCTCCTTAGAGTTTTATCTGTTGATTTATAATGTTAATGGTCCTGCGTTTCACCTGTGTAGTTATTTTGTTCAATTATTTTGCATCCTCATAAGATATGAAATAGTATTTTTAAGATTATTTAATGTATCAGCATTCATATTTTATCCGAATAATGCTTATTGTCTGTAAGTAGGAATTATGACAAAGAGTTGTGAGATCGGTGGAATATGAAGACTAATGTACATGCACAATCCACCTTACATCACTCAGTGAGATTTTAGAATAATTTCACATATATGTTCATAAAAAGGAAGAAATTTAATGTTATTTTCAGTAAATATTCAGGAATCGTCAATGTTGGAGATCCTCTGATGTTCAAGAAGACATAACTGTCATAGTGGGAGTGTATAAGATGCTCTTATTGACAAAGCATTTCTATTGGAGAATTTCTAGTACATTAATATTGATAGAATGTAGTGATAACTATGAAATAAGATGTATTTTCTTGTTGAAAATGTCTTTAGAAAGCAAATATTTCCTCAAGAACAGACACAAATAATCCATATTATTTTATCTATTCATAAGTGTCCTTGTTAAGAAATTCATGGAAGGGACAATTAAACAATTATAAAAAAATTATGAAGGATATTAAATAATTATTTCACAAATTACAGATTTCAATTGCTAAAGTTAGAGAACTTCCAAGGAAGTTGTTTTGTTGCCATCATAAATCTTAAAAAAAAAAAAAAGAAACACAAAATGCCATGATATTATTCAGGACATACAGAGGAAGAAGTGATGCTAATAACTTATTTAGCTTTTTTTCATAATACTGTTTTCTACTATTTTCCCATTATTTTATATATATGCATATTAATATTTACATATTAGTATATATAAATTTCTATTTTAAGTCAACATTTGTAGCAAATTATAAATATTTCTCAAACTTTCAACATGTTTGCTTATATTTTATAATTCAAAATATGTATTTTAATCCAAAATTTACTTTATTATTTTTTCATTTTCTTTAATGTGGACCTACATGAGCAAAAATTTAAGGGTGATAAAACTTGATTTATATTAGAGTTGCCCAACCAGTTTGGAGGGAAAGTTCATAGAATACTCCCAGCCTCTTCTCACTGTACTAAAAATGTAGTAGGAATCATATTCTCTTAATAAAACTTAGGGCTTTTTTTTCTTTGCATTTTGTAAATATTTAAAAGCTTATTTGACATATCATAGAATTATTACTAAATCACTGCTGTAGCTACTCAGAAAAGTGGCGCTCATGAGAAATAGCATTGTCGATGTTTCCAAAACACAGTAAAGCAGACTGGGTCATACAGGCAATATTAGGTTACTATACCAGTGCTAGGATTGGTGCTAATTAGTTGTGTGACCTGCATCCCTGGGACCTCAGTTTCCATATATGTAAATTAAGAAGGCTGAAGGAAGAAATTCTTGGGGCTTCATCATACTTAACCATTTAAAAATGCTTTTACTCAAGCATAGCCACATCCTTCAAAGGTGTCCTAAAACTTCTAAATTGCCCTCCATGGACACCTACCTAAGTTTTCATTATGAAATAAATAAAAAGCTAAATTAAGATCTATAATTACTGTGTCTATGTTTTAAAACCTCATTGAAAAGAATTCTAAAAAGCCATACTAGATCAAACCTAGGGTCTTTTAATTGAGCTGTTTAAGATTTAGAATTGGTACTGAGTGATTGTGGACCCAAAATGAATACAGCAGAGCTCATGCTTTATTAGAACACTGGATTAACAGAGATTTAAATCAAACTCAACTTGAATTCAAATTTCAAAGTGATCGATGGAGAATAATATCAATATAATGTGAAATGCTGATATAAAATGACGTGAGATTTTTGGATATTAGTGATTTCACCTAGGTAAAAAATAATGGGGTAAACACATGATTGTATGTTGCAGTACAAATTGCATGTTCTTGTGATCTTTTAATAACATGAATACTTTAATACAAAAAAAATACTTCAGGCACTGTGTTTTTCAAGGACTGATATAACAAAGTACAAGTTGCTTTTGATCACAGAGGTATTCCCTCTTTGCTTTAAAGGTTTAGACATTGGTCAGCCTGTTTAATTTTCTGAAGTAAATGGTTAGAATAAAGCTCACAAGCAAATTATATAGTATCTCTTATTTAGGAAGGATAAAAAAACAACTTGCTTTGTAAAAGAATGTTATGAAAATTCTTTGAACATTCCTTGAGATTGTTGTTTCTTGTTGATTAGAAGCTGGCTAGGTAAAACTATTTTGAAAGTAATAAAATAGATTTTTCAACTATTAAACCATTGTTTTAAGAATAATTTTTGTTTTGTTTTATTGATAGCTTTTAGAGCATGTGATGAATTTTTCCTTTTTTAAAAAATTAATATTTATTCTTCTTTAGTAGAAATAATTAGAAAAATAAATATCCCCTGTTGACAACCTTATTGAAATATAGTTGGACCATAGTACAATGCCAATATATAAAGGGCAAAATGTGATCAATTTTGACATATGGATGTGCCCGCAAATCTGTCACAATCATCTAGACAAACATTTACATCACCCCCAAGAATTTTCTGAAGCTCCTTTGTAATGCATTTATTCTTTCACTCTCCTCCTCAGGCAACTGTTAGTCTACTTTCTATCACTATAATTTAGTTGTACTTCCAAAACTTTATATATATGGGATCATGCATTACTTTAATTTTAATTTTTCACTAAGCACTTTCAGTCAACACACATTGATATGCTGAATATGAATCAAAAATTTATAATGTTTTCCTGTCTTTGCATTGTGTGGATAAAAGAGTTTGTTTATTTAGTCACCTGTTGATGGGCATTTGGTTGTTGTCAGTTTGGGGCCATTACGAAAACCCTTTGTGAGCATTTTGAACATTGTGTGGACATAGTTGTTCTTTTTATCTTTTATCTGGAATAAATATGTTTCTTTGAAGAGCAAAAGATTTTAATTTTGCTCAAGTCCACCTTATCAAACTGGATGCATATATGATATTGTTCATGTTCCATCTAAGAAATCATTACTTAACCTCAGACCACAAAGATTTATGTCTAGGCTTTCTCTTTATTTTATTTATTTATTTATTTATTTATTTATTTATTTATTTATTTATATTTTATTTTATTTTACTTTATTTTTTTAAAGATTTTATTTATTTGTTTAAGAGAGAGAGCACAAGCAGTGGGGAGGGGCATAGGGAGGGGGAGAAGAAGACTCCCCTCTGAGCAGGGAGCCTGACATGGGGCTGGATCCCAGGACCCGAGGGATCATAACCTGAGCCTAAAGGCAGACACTTAACCAACTGAGCTATCCAGGCACCTCTAGGCTTTCTTTTTAATGTTTTGTTGATTTAGATTTTGCATTAAAGTCTATGATCTATTTTGGATTCATTTTGTGGAGTCGATATATATTATTTTTCATACATCTATCAAAATAATTCAGCACTATTTTCTAAAAGACTTTCTTTTTTCTAACCAAGGATTTGCCAATATTGTTGATATTTACAAAATACTAGCTTTGGGCTTTGTTAATTTACATTCTTTATATATAAATCTGTTTTCTAATTTGTCGATTTCCATTTTATTTTCATTATTTCCATTTCATATATTTTGGACTTGCTTTGATCTTTGGTTATAGGTTCTTGAAGTGAAATATTAGGTCGTTTACTTTAGATGTTTCTTATTTTCTAATATAACCATATAAAACTCTAAACTTCCCACTAAACAATACTTCAGTGCAACCCCAAAATTATGGTATGTTGTATTTTTGTTGTCATTCAGATGGTTGAAAATATTTTCTAATTTTTCTCGTGATTTCGTCATTGGTCCATAGTTATTTGTAAGGATTTAATCTCCAGATATTTAATGTTTTCCTAGATATTTTGCTGTTATTTTATTTCTAATGTAATTTAGTTTTGTTCAAAAATACCCCATAGTGTGATTTTTTTATTCTTTTTCATTTATTGAGATATATGTCCCAGCATCTGATCTATCTCAGTAACTACACAGTGTGTATGAGAAGCAGGTTTATTCTGCAGTCATAGAAAGCTGTGTTCTATAAATGTCATTTAGATAGAGGGAGGTGACAGTGTTGTTTAAATCTTCTGTCTTTACTTTTTTTGTATAGCTGTTTTATCAGAGTGAGAGGTGTTAAAACCCTCTACCATGATTGTGAACATTTCTCTCTCACTTTAATCCTGTTGATTTTTGCATCATATATCTTTAGGCTCAAGAGGCCATGAACATTTATAGCTTGTATGTTGTATTAGTTTTCTATTTCTGCTAAAACCAGTGACAACAAATTTAATTGCTGGAAACAACATAAATACGTTATCTTTCAGTTCTGAAGGTCAGAGGTTCAAAATGATTTTCACTGGAATGAAATGTCAGGAGGACTGTGTTCCTTTGTGGAAGCTCTAGGGGAGATTGTTTTCTGTCCGTTTCAGCTTCTAGAATCTGCCCACATTTTTTGGCTCTTGGTCTTCTTCCATCTTTAAAAAGCCAGCAAAGGCAGATGGAGTCTCTCTCACATCACCCCACTCTAATTCTGCTACTTTTCTCATATCTTCTCTGTCTCTGACTTTTCCTTACATGAGATAATTGTATCCATACATTGGATAATCCAGGATATTCTTCTCAACTCAACATCTTTAACTTT